GTGTTTTAAGAAAAATGTGTCACTTTTCTTATAATTAACTAATTTACCTAACTTCATTAATTTAATCAAATTAGTTAAATGGGTCTTGTATTAAGGACTGGAGGAGTAATATAATTTGTTTTTCACGTCTATATCTATTTAGGTTTACGAGTAATTTTATAATAATTGTCCATCAATATTTGAAAATTTTTGTCAAATTAGAGTAAGTACTTCAAATTTTTTTATTAATAGCTAGATACCTTGCAGGCTCCTTTCCTTTTCTTGAAAAGTAACACGATTTTAATTTTTCGCTCAACTAATCATCAGCATATGGAGACATCGACGAGGACGAGAACTAATTTCTCCGAAATACAAAATCCTTACCTTCTTCTCTCTGTAGTTTTTGCGCACTCAATATTATTCTAATTGGATCTGCTAAAATCAGCGAAATTAATTTCTCAATTCGGTATTTGAAAAAAAAAAAAGAAACTAAAATTGTTTGAAGAAAATTATCACAAAAAAAAATACAAATTTACATTTTATCCTTTAATTTTACATAAGATTTTACTTTCATCCTTTAATTTTATAAACTGTTTTTCAAAAAGATTTAATCAAAAGATTCATATATACTTAAATATTAAGTTTGACAATCAGTTAATCACTTCGATGTTAGCCTCCATGGAAATTCTTCCAAAGCTCAGTACTAGTACAGCTTGATTTAACTTCATCTTTTCTTGATTTTTAATCACAGAAACTTCCAATAATTAAGTCAAATTGAAACATGCACGATTATCACAAAATAAAAAGCACTCCTCCCAAATCTGAATATTTAAATATAAGACTTTAATCTTGTATATCTCCATACTTTTTTTGACCTTGGTATATATCTCCGTACTTATTATTTTCCCCTCAAATTACTCCTATAGTTAGATTTTTGTATGATGTACAAGTTATATCAATTACTCCAATACAGATAATTGAAAAAAAAAAAGTATTTGAAGAAAATCATCACACTTTATCTAATCTTTTTATCTTATATTTATGCTGAAGCAAATTACTCACAAGCGCCAAAAAAACGCAAAACGCAAAACCTAAAACAACCTTTTAACGGGCCTTTAAAATAGTGTAAGACAGACACACGAGGCTGGGAGGCACTTTTTTTTTTCAATGGGACGCAAACAGAGGGCCAATTGCATCCAAGTGGGCCTCGGATTTCACAAAATGGTTCAGTATCGCGGGCAATAATGGGCCACCAATTCGCAAAAAGGAGATCAAGCTGGCCTAATGTTTATACTGGGCTTGGACGGGTGCGCCAGGCCCATGCAGTAGTGCAACGCAAGGGCGACGCTCGAGAGTCCCGGCAGCAAGCTACCGTAATGGACTCTCCCCTAAAAAATTAATTTAATATCATGTGGGCCAATGGCCCACGTATCAGATATTAAACTGATAAGAACAGATACTACACTTGATCTTAGCCAAAAGGCCGAGAAAGGTATGCCTTGGAATGGCCGCTCGGCTTATTATTTATAGCCTGTCAGACGCTGTGCAGTTTTTGTTCTGCTCGATGTGGGACTCAATTCAATGCTATGCAGCGCGTGTGTCCGCGAGGCTCAATCTGGCTCATAAGATTTGAAGGTCATGTGTTGCTTTATTTATTTATTGAATGTGTTGCTTTATTTATTAATGAAATAGATAAATTGTCTTAAGCATACATACTAATAACGGAATTAAATATGTGAGATAATTTTAAAAGTGGTTTATGGAAAATTGGAATATATACTAATAATTAAAAGAGCTGGAAGCATGTTCGTCGATTCATCTTACAAAAATGCATTATGTGTGTGTGGGACTAAAAGGATACAAAGGATTCGATTATGATCTTTAATTACAGATATAAGACACTAAGTTCATAATTGTTAATCAAAGCTTTTTCAGCAAAAAAAAAAAATCAAAACTTAGTATGGATGCTGATGAAGCGCCGTGTGAGTTATCCTAAAAACGGATTTTTAAAAATAGAATGAAATAATTAAATTTATTTATTACTAACATAAGAATAGAAAAGTTTTGTATTCACAATCCTTCCCTATATCTATACATAATTATTATGGTTGATGTTTATTTTATTCAGATCCATATGATAACGTTAATCTAGATGCATGGTGAATGACAGTCACATCATTAGCTACTAATAATGTTTACCAGACAAATTCAAATTATGAGAATAAAAATCAGTATTTAAAATTAAGGATTTCTGCTCCAAAAAAATTTTAGGAAATTATAACAACCCGATAAACAAGAAAAAAATCTAAGGGAAGGTAAAATTATAAATACTTATACATTAATTTTCCCTGTCTGTTTTTTTTTTACAATAAACAATGTATATAAAATGCTCTCGTATTAATTAAATATAAGTAGACCTTCACATATCTTTCAGAATCTACAAGAGTATGTCAAAGAAAAATTACTTGGCTTTGTAAATTTGGTTTGAGAATAGACAGTGTTTTGGAAATTTAGGGAAAAACTGAGGATAAATCCCTGTTTAAAAAATTAATTAGGTAATGGTCCTGAAATATTTAGGTCCCTTTATCCAAGGTTGCATATGCCAAATTCGAATTGCATATTGCGGATGCTTAGTTGTATATAAGATTTTATTGCTTATCATGGATCATAATTAAATATTGTTGATCCAAATTTGCATATTGCTGATTCTAATTACTTATTATGGATACCTAGTTACATAGAATCTTATTGCATATCACAAATCATAATTACATATCATTAATCCAAAAGTTACATATTGGTGATTCCAATTGCATGTGTGGACGCTTAGTTGCATATAAGACCTTATTGTATATTGCATATCCTAATTACATATTGTTAATCCAAAGTTGCATATAGCTTATTCTAATTGCATATTATTGATACCTTGTTGCATATGAAATCTTGTTGCATATCACATATTCTAATTGCATATTATTGATTTAAACTTACATATTGCTAATTTTAATTCAATATATGTTACTATTTACATAAACAAATTCTCTGTATAGTATTCAAACAAATTCCTATCTACAAACTAACATCATGAAATTTGCACCGAAGGTATTTGCATATTAAAACAAGTGATTTGCATATTGTGACATAGATCCCATATGCAACAACATAAAAACCCATATGTAAGTAAGCATCCATTAGATGCGAGTGAGGACTCATCATATATAATTAGTAAGGAAAAAAGAAACCAATCCGAACCAGAAAAACCGATGAATTAACCAATGGTCCGGTCTGGTTTGAATGCTGAATCGACTAGAAATGGAATCAATATGAAACTAATCAAAGCGGTGATGAACCGGTTTGGATGATTATGTTGCTATTGGTCCTAATTTTCCTCATTTAGCTACTCATATCTCAATCATTATAGATTTAAATTAATTTTAGTGATGATTTTGGTATCAACGATTACTAATTTTAGTTATTGAGAAATTGTAAAAATAAAAATTCTCAATGTTGTAGTACTTTGTTATTATTACAATCAAACTACTATTGTATTTTCTTGTATTTTGTCACTAGTAATTATTAATAGTATTACATTTTGTTATTTTTAATTAAATTATATTATTTTAATATGACCCATTTGATCCCGATCTAACCCACTTGAACCACTACTTTAACTGGTTTAGTGCCTGCTTCGTTTTTTGTTCCTTAATAATTAGCATTTGTCTTAAGCATTAACATGCAAAAAGGACCTATATACAAGGAGGGAATCTGTCATATGCAAATGAGTGTTCGTTATATGCAATAAGTCATACGCAAATAAATAGCTATCATATGCAATTAGTCATATGCAATTGAGAATCCATCATATACAAGTGAAGATCCCTATATGCAATTGAGAATCCATCATATACAAGTGAAGATCCCTCATATGCAATTGAGAATCTGTCATATATATTAGTATTAGTCAGGGCAATATAATCTTTTTCCTATCACACTTATTGATATTTGAGGGGCTCACATTTACATTTATTGCAAGATCCATTCTCCCAGTTAATTTGTCAAATGGAAATTTTTAACCAATTTTCCCAAATTTTTTAGAACATACTTTTAGTGTTATATAATTTACAACTTTAAAAGTCGTATTGGTTCTATTTTTTTTAAAAAAAAATTTATTCGTATTATGGCCTAAGAAATATTTTCTATATTTTCACAGGAGTTATAATGCTTAAAGTTCATTAATACGAATTCACATCAAATAAATCATGCACACACACACACACTTTTAAAACAAAATTGAGACCAGGGTAAAATTTTTAACTTCGTATCACCCCTTTTTTTGTCCATATTTCTCACATCACCTCAACTAATGCTCTTATTAAGAGTATCTTAGATTAATAGCAAAACTAATCTGTCTCAAGCTATAAAGCAAAAATTGATAATCAAACTCGCGCTACTTGCTGATAATTCCCATCAGCTAAGTTTATGTTGATTAAATACATCTTATTTTAATCGTAAGTACACTTTTTTATTTTAAGTAATTTTCTGTTTTATAAGATAAATATGTAAGAGGAATTTTATATCTATTTTATAAATTCCTGTGTCCAAGCTTGACCTTTTTTATTTTAACAATGTCCATACTCGACCGGATCAATCCAATCCCCATTTCCTGGTTGGCTTTTATAATCCCATTTCTATGACGTTAGACTCTTCATCTCACCCTCTTTTTGCCCTCTATTTTGGGACATCAATTTCCGTAAACATCATATTACAACGAGACATGATAATATATTGATCCTATATAATTACTCTGGAGTTAATATTCCCTTCATCTCTAAATCTAAAATTTAGATAACTCATTCACACACATTAAAGAAATTAATTAAATTAATTATTTTTTGATAAAATTGTCAAATTACAATAAGAACTTCAAATTCTTTTGGCTGATATTTGAGACTAAAAATATTAGGGTTGGCAAATTGAAAAAAAGATTCATAAAATTAAGGGACCAAGCTAAAGCATATAAATTTAAAAGACCAATGTTACAATTTTATTTCAAAAAGAAAAAAGCGTAATCACCTTTCAAGTGCTAAAGCAGAAATTTAGTTAAACATTAGTGGTAAAGGTCTACTATACACATCCTGATAGGCAGCTTCTTGGTTTTTCAAACAATATTATCTAAGAAATTAGAACAAGCATGTACAAATTATCTCTATTAATCATCCCTCATTAATTAATTAATGATGATGAAATCACAAAGTAGAAATCTAACGCCGCCTCTGAAAGCCTCCACTCAGCATCTGACCCAGCCTTGTATAAAGATCTCGTTGTTCTTCAAATGATAGGTTCATCAATATCTGAAGCAAACATCAGCATTAATTAATTTTCTTTTAATTCAAGTATTAAATTTGATTTATAACTCATGGTATAATAAAAATATGGCAAAATACCTGATCCAAAATCATTTCAACTGACAGACTTTGCGGCACAACAAATGATTGATGATAAATATATGCAAAAACTGCCATCACCATCTGCAAATTAGGGGAAAATTTTTTTTTAAAAAAATAAGTTTAATCTCCACTAAAATATGATAACCAAGCAAATGAAAATTTGAGTTGATGAATATCAACAATTAAGGATCTTAAAAGTTAAGATAACGTCTCATATAAAGTAGACTTTCAAACATTCCAGGAATGTTTTCATTCAGAAATAGCAACAAATTCAAAATACCATTATAACCTCAAAAGACCAAGTCATAAACTTCAAGGATCATGACTAGTACCTTTCGGTAACCCCAATAACAACTTATTTCAATGGCCCTCGGAGGACTTTTTTTGTTTTGTTTTGTTTTTTTTTTTTAAATGAACTATGAATAATAAAATGTCATTTTCTCCAGAAATTTCAAGCAGGTTTTTCCCCTCCTTAGGAGGAGGCTAGCCCTTTTTAAGTATACACAGTATACTATATCTACCAAACAAATAAAAAATACTATCTCCAGTCTTGAATATATAAACTGGTTAGAGATTCAATTTAGTTAAACCACAATCCATTTTTCTCCCATATTTATTTATTTATTCCCAAAGTAATTCTCATGGTAATTGTATATGTTAAAAGGTTTCTATTTTAATGGACATGGTTAACAAGAATATTTTAAGAAAGACAATACCATTTATTACAAATAACTAACTTAATTAATTTCTAAATATCCGCAAATTAGTTATCTAGCTCTTAATTTAGGATCGGAGGTAGTACAATAGAGACACCTTCAACCGAAATATTTACATCACTATGATACGCAAATATGCCAATATTATAGACATATGCATGATACTCCTGTTCATCAGACTGGACTATTACATAGACATACGAATGGCATAAGTTCATGTAACATCAAAGCGGCAGTTGATGCTCGTTTCTAATAATTTTCCAAGTATCTAGCAACCTATCTTAAAAGGGACATATATTAAAAGGAAAAAAAAAAAAATCCACCATTCTTAAACTATTTAGAAATCAACACCACCAGTTTTGGATTTCTCATATTGTTTGTTATTTCAACATACATAAATATGTTTGTCAACACTTGGATTTCTCATGTGACAAACAGCAGCTAATAGACCAATTAACTTTCTCGACAGTAAATTAGAAAGAATTATAAGAATATATCTAGTATTCCCACCATTCTATATTTAGTGTCCATGATTGTCTTTATTATTAAGAGTTCTTTTGGCGTATGGAAATTATTTGAAGAAAGGTAAAAAAAATGAGGGAAAATTTTATCAGACCCCCAGCAAG